TTGAATGAATTATCTAGTTAGCTGATCACGCTCTTGTCACACCTTTAACAGGACTTTGGTCGCGCCTTTCTCGAAAAAAAAATCCCCGTGTGATTCAGCAATCAATTTATAGTTAGTTATGGAAAAGGTTTTATTATACAATGAATGCACATATTTTGTACAAATTATTATAGGTGGGTCCGGAAATATTTCTTTTCGATTTTCGAAATAAAGCTATGGCTTTTTTGATCTCAATGGAGATTTCTCATCTCACATTTCTTTGAAAAAACAGTGATGCATTTTTTAGCATTTAGAATCATGTGGAGTAGCAAAGCAATTCAGAGAATGAGTGAAAGGTACCCATTATGATTAACATTTTTGACAGCGTATAAATGCTATAGGATTACATCTATGATGTGGTTGAGGACAACTCCAATCGCGACCAATAACATAAACTTTTCCAAACAAAGCTTTGTGTTTAAAATGTAAAATTGTTCTGTCCAACAAATACCCTAAGCATACTCAAACTCATCCCCCCTTACTGTAATACTAAATACTTAGACTGGCTAGAACTTTAAATTGAATTTCGAACTAAACCCATTCGTTAAAAAAACTTGGCCGGGTAAGGATTATAAGTCATTGGAGTACACTTCAACAGTGCAAGAACATAGTGTCAAATACAGTACTTGCTTGGTTCTCATTTCTAACACTTTGTAACATTAGAAAAGATAAAATAGAAACGTTCAAACCTATCCAATTCGAAATCTTTCTAATTTGCAAAATTGGAGGTGATCAGTTTCCGACAGTCACACGACTGCTTTTCCTCAAGTTTTTTTTTGTGGAATTGTAGTGTGTCACTAAATTATGAGCACAATAGAATGTGTTCATCACATTCATTACCATCGTTACCTCGAGACGATAGAGGTGCTAATTGAATAACAGACCTTTGAAGTAGCAAAATTAGCATCAGCCACCATTTCACAATTTCTCCCGACTACCTGCCATGGACCTGCTCCAGGACCAAATACAAATGATGATGGTACTTGGCAATGTCGGCAAATTTCCTTTAAATAGCAAGATGATCAGGGAGATGGGTGAAAGCTCCCAAAAAAACTACCTGAAGGTCAAATTCCTTTTCTTTATGAATCACCGGAAAGAGATTGCCTGGCCCGCCAACTTCCGCAATTACAAGTTTACGACCAAAGCCATTTGAAGTCATTGAGAATGGTGCCGCCGACAGATCTGAGAACAATAATTCGGAATTTTGAACTAAGAAATGCCAAATAATAACCTGGGCAAGTTGTAACATCCACTTCCACATTTTTGAAATTTTTCTTCAAAGTTTTCTCTATGATTGTGCGAAGTTCGTCATTAGACGGTTTCAAAATGTCTATAGTAGTTGCTTCTAAGAACATCTGTAATCACACGGGTACACAATAATGAAAAAACATTAACGTTATGATGAAACAGTAAACATTGATACTGGAACGCTGCGACGCAATGCCAGTGGCCAGTGGACAG